CTTTTTTTTTTTTTTTTTTTTTTTTGGTCTCTTTCTTTTCTTTTCTTTCTTTTTTCTTCTCTGTGTCTTTCTTTCTTTTCTGTCTGTCTGTCTGTCTGTCTGTCTCTCTGTCCCTCTCTCTCTGTCTTGCCTTGTCTGTGTCTATATCTCTCTGTCTCTCTTCTCTCCTCTCTCTCTATCTATCTATCTATCTATCTATCTATCTATCTATCTATCTATCTATCTATCTATCTCTCTCTCTCTCTCTCTCTCTCTCTCTCTCTCTCTCTCTCTCTCTTTCTCTCTTCCTCTCTCTTCTTATTCTCTTCTCTCTCTCTCTCTCCTCTCTCTCTCTCTCTCTCTCTCTCTCTCTCTTCTTCTCTCTCTCTCTTCTCTCTCTCTTCTCTCTGTCTATATATTATATATATATATAATATATATTATATATATTATATATATATATATATATATATATATAATATATATATATACTATATATATATATATATATATACATATATATATATATATATATATTATATATATATATTATCATCATTATCATCATTATCGTTGTTACTATCATTATCAATATATATCATCATCATATTCGTTATCATTAATATTTCTGTTATCATCATTGTTTTGATTTATTATAATTATTCTTCCTCCTCCACCTCCTCTTATTATGATCATCATTATCATCTTTATTATCATCATAATTATTATTATCAAAAATTATTATTAGTAGTAGTAGTAGTTTTTCCATTTGCCGTATATTATATTATATATATATATATATATATATATATATTATATATATATATATATATATATATATATATATATATGTATGTATATAAATTTATATATGTTGTGGTGTATGTATGCATATATATATACATATATATGTATATATCTGCATATATATATATATATATATATATATGTATATATATATATATATATATATATATATATATATATATATACATATAATCGCTGATGGTTTCAAGACCTGAAGAACAGCGGCATGAAGATCATCCGAAATCCGGTAATAACAGCGATAAAAAAATCTCCCGGTCTGTAATCTGAATTCCTATTAGCCAATTTCCGGGATAATAGTAACAATCACAATGATAACAATTGCAATCATCTAATGGCATAGGAAGGAAACGGGGGGAGGAGGGGGAGGAGGGGGAAGGGGTGAAGGGGGAGGGGGGGAGGGGAAGGGGAGAGGGGGAGGGAGGAGAGGGGGGAGGGAGGGAGGGAGAGGGAGGGAGGGGAGAGGGGTGAAGTGGGGAGGGGGAAGGGGGAGGGGGAGGGCCTCACTTGTAAACAACAGTACAAGTAACAGCGTAAAGTAACTTACTTAAGTCACTGATCTTTGACATCGAGGGAGCCCAACCTCTTCGCCCTCCTCCCCTCCCCCTTCTCCTTCTTCCTCCTCCTCCTCCCCCCACCATCTCCCTTCCCCCCTTCCCCTTCGGCCCCCCCCCCTTCTCTTTCTCCTTACGCTACTCTTAAAGGTATTATCACTATTGTTGTTTTTTGTTTTCTTTATTGTTTTATATGTTGTGTGTGTATGTCTCTATATATTATATAATATATATATATATATATATATATATATATATATAATATATATATATATATATGTATGTATGTATAGATCTATATCTATCTATATATCTACCTTCTCTCTCTCTCTCTCACTCTCTCTCTCTCTCTCTCTCTCTCTCTCTCTCTCTCTCTCTCTATATATATATATATATATATATATATATATATATAATATATATATATATATATATATATATATATATATATATATATACCATATATATATTAAACTATATATATCTATTATCTATATATATATATATATATATGTATATATATTCAGACATATATATGTGTATTTGTATTTGAGTGTAGTGTTTATGTGTGCGTGTGTGTTATGTGTGCGTGTGTGTGTGTGTGTGCATGTGTGTGTGTGTGTGTGTGTGTGTGTGTGTGTGTGTGTATGTGTGTGTGTGTGTGCGTGTGTGTATGTGTGTGTGTGTGTGTTTATGTGTGCGGTGTGTGGTGTTGTGTGTGTGTGTTTATGTGTGCGTGTGTGTGTGTGTGTGTGTGTGGTGTGTGTGTGTGTGTGTTTATGTGTGTGTGTGTGTGTGCATGTGTGGTGTGTATGAGTGCGTGTGTGTGTGTGTGTGTGTGTGTGTGTGTGTGTGTGTGTGTGTGTGTGCGTACATCTCAGCCCACGGATCGATCCCGCCCAAGATCCCAAAAGACGATCCCACGAACCGCAAATCCCCCAAAAGGAGAAGATTACCATTAAATAAAACAAGAACACTTAATAGAGAGTAATCCTTCGCTCTTTCCCTCTCCCTTTCCCCTTACCCTTACCCACTCCCTCGGTCCCTAACCCCTTCCCCTACCCATTGCCCTTGCCCATTTCCCCTTACCCCTCACCCCCCCCCACCAATCCTCCCCTTTATCGCTTCTTCCCCTTTCCTCCTCTCCCTTTTACCCTTTCGCCTTACCCAACCCCTTCTCCCTCCTTCCCTACCCTCACCCCCAAGTCCCCTCTCTCGCTTCTTCCCTTTACCCATCTCCTTTCGCCTTATCACCACCCCCTATTCCCCACCCACACTCTTTCCCCCTCTTCCTCCTCCTCCGTCCCTCTTCCACCCTCTACCCTTCCCCCTTCCTCCCTTCCTCCTCCTCCCCCTCCTCCCTTAACCCCTCCTTCCCCTCCTTCCCCTCCCCTTCCTCCCTCCTTCCTTAACTCTCTCCTCCTCCTCTAACCCCTCCCCTGCTCTTCCTCCCCTCCTCCCCCTCCTCCCTCCTTCCCCCCTCCTCCCCCCTCCCCCCTCCCCTCCCCCTCCTCCCTCCCCTCCTCCCTCCTCCCCCTCCTCCTCCCTTCCTCCCTCCCATTCAACCCCCCTCCCATCACTCCCTCTCCCCTCCTCTCTCCCAACAAACACCCTCCCTCCTTCCCTCCTCCCCTACCCCTCCCAACAACTCCTCCTTCCCCTCCTCCCCTCCTCCTTTCCTCCCTCCCATGAAACCCCCTCTCCCCTCCTCCCTCCCATACCCTCCTCCCATCACTCCCTCCCGTAACCCCCCTCCCCTCCTCCCTCCCATCAACCCTTCCCTCCCCCTCCCTCCCTCCCATCAACCCCCCTCTCCCCCCTCCTCCCAACCCCCCCACCCTCCCCCCCCCGCCTTATCCGCAACCAGGGCCCCAGCGGAAGGTTTGGGG